TTAACAGTGATGCAAAGTGGTTTCAGGACCTGAGATCATAGCCACCAAACTATGGGACCATATGTCCAGTACATGAGCACAGCTCAGAAGGGCCCTGGGAACACCAGGGGCTCAAAACATCAGTTGCTCATAGAGCGAGCAGTTGCCCAAGACCCAAAGTCTTGACAGACCAATCTGAGCACAGCCTGGATTGGCTTCAGGAAAGCCTACAATTCAGTGCCACACACACATGGATTTATGAACACCTGGCACTGGAAAAAGTCAACAGGGCACTAAGAACCTTCCTCAAGAACTCAATGGGACTGTGGAAGATAACACGGGAAGTCAACTCAAGACAGCTGATACAAGTGACCATCAAACGTGGCATACACCAAGGTGATGCACTGTCCCTACTGCTGTTCTGCTGGATCCTCTTCATCCAGATAATCAAAGGACAGGATGTGGGTAGAAGTTCAAGAACGGAACTACCATCAACCACTCCATCTATGTGAATGGCATCAAGGTATACATAAAGAGTGAATGAGACATCGACTTGCTAATCCACCTGTCCTGATTGGGTAAGGAGAGCTCTACAGTGAGGGCATTAGGATGTCATTCAGACTGGAAAAGTGTTTGGAGATGTGTGACCAGATAATAGGAAAGGGAATCAGATTGAAGGGGCGAGACTATCAGCAGATCAGATAGCAGGCATACAGACCAGTTACAACTATCTTGGTATTCCACTATCACATGGAGGTCATGGTGACAAGGCAAAGAACCCTGACAATAGCAACATTATCCAAGTACCGGCAATGGATCAGACAGGTCCTGGAGAGCCAGCTCAATGTCCTGCCAGTCATCAGATGCCCTTCTGCTACAGTGATCTGGCCAAAGAAGAAAGTGGAAACTGCCAAAGTGAAGTCCCAGAAACTCCACATCTCTAGTGCAACACTCAGAGACTGTACACCAGTCAGAAAGAGGGTGGGCTGGATCTAGTGAATAGCAAAGCTTCTGTCATGGATGATACCCAGAGAATCCAGAAATACATCAGCAAGACAGCACCCAAAGCTGAGTTTCTCAGAGAATGACTGAGGCAGCAGCAGACATGGGAAGAAGACCAAGCAGAGGAAGTGTTATGGCAAGGCAAGGCAAGGCAAGGCAAGGCAAGGCAAGGCAAGGCAAGGCAAGACCCTGTATGGGATGTACCATTAATAGACAGTTGAGGGGGAAGACATTGGAATTTCCTACCAGTTCTGGAAAGAGTTGGATGAAAAGACAGCACTTAAACTCCAGATCCCATAGCAGCACAATAACAGTTGGCTGTGGTGAGTTGGCCATGGTGAGTTGGCTGTGGCGAATTGTCATAGACACCAAACAGATCCCAGGAACATCAGAGTTCTCCATCCAGAAAAGTGCTAAGACACTGTGCAAACCCTCAAACTCCCAAGCATCTGGTAGAGAGGATCCAAGACACAGACCCACATAAGGGTGAGAATTTTTACCCCTACCTTTCTAGCTCAAATAAAGGGCTTAAGCATATTTGACACCAATGTCATCTTTGTTTGATTCCAAGTACTTTAGACTTAACCATATTACAGGCTCAGTTGTCAGCATTCTCAAAAGTGGGAACATGTTTTGAAGAATTAAGCAATCTGGAGACTGGCCTTCTCTAACTCCACCTTTTAGATGTTTTGAGATTTCTACTTTAATCCTTGGACTAAGATGGTGTACAACTGATTGAAACTGTAGTCCAGAATGTTGAAGGCCACTAGGTTTGGGAGAAGAGTGTCAAACATCTAAACCAAAACCCAAAAACACCTGGCACTCCCTTCTTGAGTATTTTTCATGACTGCAACCTTGGGGCATAGGCTGGGCATAGTGGCTATCTAGATGCCTCTGGGGTGCTCTTAAATCAGAGATGGCTTTGATTAATTAATGCACTGAATACTTGCAACCGGTACTTGAAGATCTGATGATTGCTGGCTGAATCTTATGAGAATTATAGTACAAAACAACACCAGTGTTTGCCCTATGAGCTCAGCCATTGTTAACACTCAAAACCCACCCTCATTTTTGGCACTGGGCATATCATACTAAATTAAAGCCTGACTATACAAGTTCTGCAATTGTAAAACATCGCAGGCTAAAATGTTATGCTGCAGGTTAATTTGTTATTCCATGTGCCATTTGAACATAGCTACTGCTCCAATTTACGGTAATTACACATTATCCTTCCGTTATACAAAACCCACAACTGCTGAAGCTGCGTTTCTCCAGTGAGGTTATTTCTTTTCCTGTTCAAAACGAGAGCTGGCATTTGAGGGCACGCTTTTATTTTATTAAAAGATTTAGTGGAGAATACTGAAATCCCCTCTTCCAATGAAGCGGCTTTCCGTCTCTTCCCAGTTCTAAGACAAGACAGCATTTTCTGATCTCAGCTGCACTCATCTGGCCAAGGCAGCTGCTCTTGCAGGAAATTAAATTTTTTTTAAAAAATTCTGTAAGCACATAGGTGCTGGAATATATAGCATTTCAATGTTTAAGAAGTTAGTACTTGTCAGGGCACTTCTTGTGTAATTTAAAGGACAAGCTGAAGCTGACAAGGGATTCCCACAACAGTAACAGTAGAGGCAGAGAGCCTGATAAAGGCAACACAGAAGGAGGGTGAGCTGGTGTGATTACATGGGTGCAGATCAACCCCCAGATGATGCAAGCACCACCTGATCAACCCAGACATCAAAGCGCTCCACTGATGTGATGGAAGTTCACACAATGGCTACCTGGTATTTCAAGCAGTTTTTATACTCCAGTCAAGAACTTATTGAAGGGAATCCATTTCCATGAGTACAAGTTGCTGTTCCTCACTGAATCACCTCAGACCCCCTGCCCGCCTTTACAGGTGTTTCTTCAAGGAGGGGATCAACACAGTTAAGATGGTGTCACACCTTAAAAAGGGGGGTACGACTCTGATCACACCACCGTAGCCTCTTTGCTCTTTTTGACCATCCTGCCTTCCTAAAACCTCCCCTTATGGTCTACAGACCTCTCCAGCTGATGAAAAGCGTGACCGGATTGTCTCTAGCTGTTTGCCACCAAGAATCACTTGCTAAGAATGGCTCTGCCAACTTGTTCGGGGAGGGGCGGGGAGGCAGGAGGCTAAAGCGAATCTTGCTTAAACAAAATGAAAGCATTTAGGAGAGTTTGTGGATAACATGCGGTCTACTCTATCTAAGGCAGTTCCTGGTTGCCTTCTGTGAGATCTAGCAAGGGGGCTCGTGTCCACACTCCACGCCCCAGATGTAGGCTGGGGAGATAACTGGCTTTGCCCTTCGTCTCAAGGTTTCTGCCTGCCTTCCCACAGAAGCCCCTTCCTTCCTTTGCAGCTTAATGCCATGGGCTGAAGTTACAGCTCTAATCTGCTGGCGTCTTTGCTCTTTTCTCTCCTGTACTCTTTATCTTAAGGGGGGAAAAAAATAAAGCCAACAGCAACAGCAATTTTTTCTGGAGTTAATGGAAAGTATAGTGCAGTTAGATTATGGATGGGGAGATTCAGGTATAAAGCTAGCCTTAGTCATGTTTGCATCTTTGGGACAGCTGTGGGTCTTCTGTCTAATAGGGCTGCTTTTGAAGGAAACACAGATTGGTGCAGAAAAAGCAATCTACATATATTTAACTATGCCCTCTGCAGAGATGCGCCCCCAACGATTCCCTGAACCATTTCCATGGGCCAAAATACTTATTTGCATCCTGAACTCCAGCCCTGCATGGGAGCTGCATGAAGGATTAGGTCAGATGGTTGCCTAGGCAAAGCCTTCATGCCAAACTTTTCCCTGTTTCCCCCTCCTTGGAAGTGTTAAATAAAAGCTTAAAAGTGCCCTCCTTTACCGTCCTCCTGTGTTCTCCCTACAGCCTCCTCCTGCGCTTTCTAGTAAGGGAAGTCTGCTGAATGCAGATAAGAGAACACTTGATTCGACCTGGTGCAGCACCAAAGGCTGTAGATTCTATTCATGTCAGGCTGTCCTCGTAATAAAATAATTCTTTTATTTTGGAATTTAAGGCCACTGGCAAATTCACTCTAGCACCATGGACTGACATTGTACTAGTCTGAGCTACTAGAATTAAATTAACGCTTATCAAAGACAATTTCTTTGGGTCCTTGTTAGAATACAAAATAAAAAGCCCCTGAATAAATGGCTGTACTGAACAGAGAAAAAAATACGTTCTTCTTGTCATATTTTCTGTCCTCTTTCAGAATAGCCAGTGACACCACAAGCATATATTACAAGCATCCCTCTCCAAATGCTTGCAAATAAGCTACCAAGAATACACTTAGGGGTGTATTCTATTTCAATACTGTCCAATCTCATAAACTGTGGTGAGATATATGATCACACTGCCCGGGAAACTCTCAGCAGAAAAACCTTAGCAAATACCACCAAGAGAACAATTTGAGTTATTGTCATTTAAGTTCAGACTCTATTAATGAATGTCCGCATAAATTAATTCTACAGCAAAGGATTCTTGACTTGAGCCTAACAGAAGATGATGTACCATCTCTGAGGGATGAAGGCCACCAACAGATAGCTCAGAATTGCCACGCCACCTACGAGTGACACGAGCTATGCATAGTAACTGCAAGCTTATCAAAATGAGTGTCTGCACAACTGCATAAATGAAGATTAAGATTGGCTAGTTTTGTGGTTGAGTGCAATAAGGAGGGTGGGATATGCAGCCTGGTTAACCATGGACAGGAAATTGTGAGTAGTACTTGAGAACAAGCTTTTAAGGTTTTCACCAAATGTATACACCAACGAAAATATAAGCACTTAGAGCGGTCTCAAAGCAGAAGGGAAAAATAATAGCTCTTCAAGACAGAGACGGAGGCCTTTAATGGATCTTCAAAAAAGGTTTTGTGAGAACAACCCCAAACAAAGTATTTTATATCAGCTTCTCTTTCTCCTTAGGATATTTTGTCTGGCTAAAGCCTGGCCACCCATTTTAGCTTGTATTTGTGTTCTTACCTTTGCACCTGCTAAAAATCCCAATGATATGGCAACTCTGGCACGAAGGTCAGGCCGGTCTTTGGGCCAAACGTATGAAAGCATTGCTTTGAGGATCTTTCGGCCATCTATTTCTTTCAACTGTGGAGACAAAAGGTGGTGAGATGGAGAGGATGAGCTCAACAGGTTTCCAAATGAGGTTGGTTCCTCAGTCCCAATCCAAGAAATGTGAGCTATTTTTAGTTAGCAACCTTTTGAATTAAAATCAGCACCAAAGGGAATTGGTTCAATGGATATAAAGTAATAGCACTCTTAATATCAAGAAAATTGTTTTAGGTTTAATTGCATGTGAAATGTCAGATCTTTTGAACTAAATGGCTATGAGGTTGAGTAATTGTGCATTACAAGGCTTCTAAAGATTCAAGTACAGAACTCCGTTTCCTTCATAAACCGATTGTCCTGTCCCATATTAATAATTCCTTCTTTAGGGCTTATATGAATTGCAGACACTTTTTGTCACGTTATGGGTGTTTTTAATTAGTGAAACTAAAAACATAGGGATAATTTTATTCAAGCATAAAACCTGCTGTTCCAAAGATCTTCGATTAATGTTCTCACGTTACAAAATTGTAAATCATTATCTACAGCAAGGATCTGTAAAAAAAAAAAAATGGAGATGTAAGAAAAGCAAGTTTCTAAACTGGTTTTAAGGATCAAGGATCCCCTCCATGCTGGGGAGGAGGAACACTAAATCAAAATTCCAGTAACTATTAAAGATTCCGAGTTCTAAAAGTTTAGGAACATACAAGATTTGGCTGAGCAGGGCTATAGGCACAAATTAAATGCTGGATTAGGGTATGTGAAACCCAAAGGAGCTGGTGAGGAGGTGGAAGAGGTGTGACTCCTCTGTGTTTTAGTCCTTTTCCTTGATCAGTATTAACAGCCAGCTAGCATTTGAGCCAGACTAGCTACAAGGGAGCAATCAAACGCAGGCAATCCAGATGTAACAGTATTATATGAAGGCCTCTAACCCTTTTGGGCCAGAGAGCTCATCTGGAATTGTGAGGGCATATTGTGGGACACTCTATAAAATGGTTGCCATGGTGGACATAGCTAATCACAAGCCAGCAGAAGGCAAGCCAACACTGGTCTACAGCCATTGACCATTTTACTTTCTAAGAACCCCTTGGGATTCTATAAGGGGCCCCAGGGGTCTTATTGGAAATCTAGACTTCCATTCATCTTTCTTCAAATAAGAGATTCTAAAAAGTTTAAATTCAGCAAGTCAGGGAGCTTAGAAGGCATCAAGAAACATGTCAACAGCAGCTTCTGGGATCCATGTAAGGGTATATAATGCCTGCACCTGTTCTAAACTATAGTTAAAATCATAATTAGGAAGATCTAGACCAGGGGTGTCAAACTCGGTTTCACTGAGGGCTGCATCAGGGTTGTGGGGTGGGGCATGGCCAGCTCAACGTCACTCTTGTCAGGGGCACCTGTGGTGGCCAAGTGCTAAGGCAGGACTTCCCTCAGACCCTCCTTCACTCTCATTTCCTTCCTTCCTTCCCTTTTCTTTTATTTCCTTCCCTTGTCATTCTTTCTTTTTCCTTCCCGTCTTTCCTTCTTTTTCCTCCCTGCTCTCTTCCCATCCCATCCTTCCTCCTTTTTCTTCCTTTCCTCTTTCCCTTTCTCCTTTCCTCTCCCATGCTGCATTTTTTGAGCTTGTTTTGCTAGCCCTCTGCCAGCGAAAATGGAGCTTGGGGGGGAAACGGACCGTGTGAGGCCCGGTTTTCAGCCACAACAGCCTCCCGCAGCCCTCTGCTAGCAAAAACATTTTCGATGGCAGAGAGCTGCAGGACGCCTTCCTGGCGGAAAATGGGACCCTCCCAAGGTCCCTTTTCACTGGCAGAGGCACCACAGACACTGGTCCTTTGCTGTTTCCAGGGTGGCCCCAGATCTAAGTACCGCAGGCCTTGAGTTTGATACCCCTGATCTAGACCATAGATTAAAATCAACCATGACACCAAGATGTAGTATCAGCTGGTACTGTTTCTGAAAACTGCTTTCTCTCCATTCATGGTAATGTGACTTTCAATTTTTTTTTTTAAAAAAAGCTCATTTTTAATTTTTCAACTTTTCAATCAAAAGAGAAACGAGCTTCTATAATTTTATAAAGAACAAATGGTAAGCCCAGATGGAGGGGGGGGGGGACCAGATTCTGCTCTGTTACTGTATTCTCTCACACATTGTTCTACCCACAGAAACAACAAAAAATTAAGATATACTTAAGGTTGTTGACAATGTTTGATAATACATTTTCACCAAATTATGCAACAGTACAAAAGTTTTAATTAGATATGCTGTTTTAGTGCCCTATAATTTTTCCCTTCCCTAATAATTGTATAATCTATTTCCCTTCTCCAATAAATGCTATATTATACTCTTTCTCTTTTTATTGCACTCTTTTATTATACAGGTGGGTCAAAGTCCACCATAAAGATATTTGATTTGATTTCACAATACAATGTCTGTGAACAGAATCAAATCTAAATCCCGAAGGTGCTTTTTCAGGAGGCAACTGGACTTTCTGGTTTTTCTTTTGAAGACATTTCACTTCTCATCCAAGGAGCTTCTTCAGCTCTGACTGGATGGTGGGGAATGGAAGGATTTATATTCCTTGCAAACAGCTGGTCCTTTGAATCCTTTTAGAGGGTCGTTGAGGCCACTTGGAGGTTTATCTGTGTCCTCAGGGTCACCTAAGTAGTGCTAACAGTTCCTGTAGTCTGCAATTTTTCTCTGGAAATCCATTCCTACTCCCACACCATTCAAAGGAGGGTTCACCCCAAATTGTATAGCTAACAGTACAGAACAAATTTAGTGGTTAATATTTCTAAATGCATCCCCCCCCCCCCTTTTGTTTTTCCACTGTTCATCCTTTGTGACTCTTCCCTGCAAGCCCTGTCGTGCCCCTGGTGGAGACGGACTCTGAGGGAGAGGAGGAACAGCCGACAGGGAGTGGAAGTGTGGCTCCGGATGTTGTGGAGGAGGCTGGGGGAGGGCAGAGGCTGGCTGAGCAGTCAGAGGAGGACCCAGGCCCATACCCTCCTCATCCTTGGACACGCAGGGAGGAGAGGATAAGGGAGAGACGTGGTCTACTTGGGAGGAGAGGGCCTTGATCCTCTTCATGGGCTGCAGGTGTGACAACTGCATAAGAGTTTGGACCTGCGTACTGGCAAACGCTGTAGACAAAGTGTGTTTTATTTTGGTTTGAGGTTATCTTGGTTGGCATTCTTCCAACGGACTGTGCCTTGTTATTTCCTTGAATTTGGTAAATACTTCTGTTCCGTTGTGGACATTTCATCATTGTAGTTTATTTGGTTTTTATTTTTACCTCTATCTGCTCATTAAATTCGGACTGTACTGCTTTCTTTTGAAGACTATTTTTGAGTACGTTTTATCTCCAACTGAGTTTTATTGAACAGTGGGGCCAAGTTGGAGGCATTAAAGGACATTTATTTACGTTTTGGATTTTGTTATATTTGTGTTACACTCCGGGTCATCACAAGCCCAAAGGTACAGCCCTGTGCTCATTTTCACTTAATGTCACTCACTAGGTTGTAGTGAATTGATATGAGATAGTATTTGTTTAACAAATGCTTAACAAATGGGGCAAATAATCATTACTATTAAAAGCTTGCTGATTTAGGCCAGAGGTAAAGCTACCACATGCTGGCTTAAAGCTTCACAGAATAAAGGAATTGGAAAGTTCCAGTAAACATGTCCTAATGATTCTGTACAAAATTGCACGGAGACTTGGACAATTAGGCCAGTTCATAATATAGGCCTTATGCATTCTATCCTTTGCATCCAAACCATAAAAAGACGACTACACTGAAGGATCTGCGACATTACACCCCCACCGTTCCTTGTCACAGTGGATTCCTCTTAACAGATCAGCAAGTTCCCTGACTTTATGGACCTTGAGTTGGTATCCATGGCCACATGTCACACTAAGCACGTTTGGCTTAGGAAAATGGGTGACCCCCATCTCGTGAAGAGTGCCAAGTTTCCTTTTGTTCAACAAATCAGAATGTGAAAGAGTGATTTGTCACAGTCTTATTAACGTTCCATATCACGGCCAGGATTTTCTTGTCCTCTTAGAATTTGCCTACCAAGAAACTATGGATGGAGGAACAAGTGCTGAAAAGTGAAACGTTAGGACAGTGGCTCCCAACCTTTTGGGCACCAGGGTCTGGTTCAGAGGAGGTATTTTTTTCCCTGTGGACCGGAGGGGACGTGGTGTCGTGTGCTGCCGGCATCCCACGGATGGGGCTTCGCTTGTTTGCATTGCCCGGTTCCTGGCATACTGCGGACCGGTTCCGGGACCAGGGGTTGGAGACCTCTGTCTTAGGAAACCAGTATCATCCCATATGCTTTGGCTATGCTATATCTTCCAGTTTAATGTGCCTGAAAACTAGATTAAATCCCTTGCAGCTCTGTGGACACATGCAGCTCATTTGAAATGCGCGGGGTGGGAGGCAAACTGTAAGGAAAGGAAGGGCAACAAAGACAAGCAACTGAAGATAAAAACTATGGAATTTCTTTCCACCCAGCGCTGGTCTCTAAGAATTCTTGGGTTCAATCAAGGAAAGTGAGATCATTATAGCCAATTCAGGTGCTGTTTCCTTGTTATATTTGCCCTCACTGGAACTACTCAAGGAAGGGGCACAATCTGATTTCAATATTTCATAAAAATTTGGAGTGCAATGCCAAGGCTTGGCAAATTAATTTACTGCTATCTCCTCCGAGACACGTGGTGGGAAGAAGACCGGTACAGGTAGTCCTCAACTTACAATGGTTCATTTAATGACTGTTTGAAGTTACAATGGCCCTGAAAAAGTGACTGTTTTTCACACTTATGACTGTTGCATCATCCCCAGGGTCACGTATTCAAAATTTGGACACTTAACAACTGAAATGATTCACTTAGCAACTTTGGCAAGAAAAGTGATAAAATGGGGCAAAACTCACTTGTCTCAACTTAGCAGAACAAAAATTTGGGGCTCGGTTGTGGTTGTAAGTCAAGAACTACCTGTATTCAAATTGCTCCTCATAATGGAAGGAAAAGAAATTAATAGAGTTATATCACATTCTTGTCCAAAAACTGAAACATATCTATTTTTGGTATGTTTAACACAAAATGCAATTTTCGTAGCATCGTAGCATATCACAGCACGTATTACAAAATAGGCCTCATTTTATAAGCAACGTTGTCTTGGCTCTTATAAAGGCACAGTTCCTTTTTCTTTTGCAATACCTTACTAAAGGTATCCCGCTGTGCTTCTTGCATACAAACGTACCCCACAATTTTGGGAGTGTTACAGCTTTGACAGGACCCATGTTTGTTCCTTTAGGAAATTTTAACACAGGCCCACCAGCTCTCCACAGTATAGAGATTGTGTGACATTTGATTAACTTTGCTTCTGCTAACTTTCGTCAGCAGAAGTAGGAAGGGCTTCTTGTTTGTGTAAAGGGACTCCTGTCATTTTCCCAGCTCCACAGGAATATAGGGAGGCTGGTGTGTGCTTAATAAATATGTGAACGAACGTAGGCTTGGGAGACCAGGCAGTGCAAAACTTAACATTGTGCCTTGCAATACTCAATGGGTGGGACTAGATAGACACTGTTGCCTGGAGATAGGCAGAGGGCCTATGTAGTCTTAAGGCAGTTTTAGGCATTTAAGCAGCAGCATCTATCCAGTTTTTCCCAGCCATTCTTTCCTGCCAAAGGTTTTCCCACCTCCTGTTGTCTAAACTTACAGAAGCTGCCTTTTTGCAAACATTTCATTTGGAAAGGCCAAGAGCTGGATGTGGCAGAAAAGCTGAGAACAATGAATGTTAAACTGAAAAATATTAATTCATGTCAGAGCTGGAGTTTAAAGAAGCAAGGTCTAAAACCCGAGAAGTGAATTACTGATATATTTAAAAATAGTTTGATATTGCCTTTCAGGGCTTTTTTTTCAACGACAACCATGAAATAACAACTACCTAAAAAGCAGCTGAATAGGATATGGCCTCCCTTTTTTTCATCTACCGCTACGATAGAAGAATCCTGTGTTTCTTATATATTAATTTGCGCTGCTTGTCAGCTGCCCCAGAGGCCTGTTGTCAAAAAGATAGGAACATTTTAAATAAATAAAACAGATGCTGTCCCCCGCTAAGACATAATCAAGGAGGAGAGCGGAGGAAAAGAGGCATGAGAATGTGTAATGGGAAAGTCAGTCCTCTCTGTGATTTTTCACACTGGTCAAAGCCATCACAAAGCTTTAAATTGACACCTTTCTCCCCAGGATGCAGTCATTTCCAATCACAGGCAGATAAGCTGGTGGCTTCCTTCTTCTGTCAAAACTAATTTTCTGAACAATTTATGCAAATAGGGATGTGCTTCCAATCAACCTGCTTCAGAGAACCCAAGGCAAACTTAAGAGAAATCGACAGAACGATCCCCCTTGGAGGCAAACACGCAAGCAACTGTGCAGATATTTTGTTTCTTAGGTGCAGAAAACCCAGGATGGATTAAAGGGGGGGGGGTTTGATATTTACCGCATTCTTCGGGTCTGAATGGAGGCCTCCCCCAGCATGTCCATGCCAACAGGTTCTTTTGTCTATCTGAGACCACCCCTGCAGATGCTGGGAGAAGAAGAGAGCAGAGAAGGATGTCAGTGCTTGTACAGTCACAATAAAATCCATTAGAGGTAGTCCTCGCTCATGACCACAATTGAGCCCAAAATGTAGGTTGCTAAGTGCAACGTTTATTAAGAGAAATTTGCCCCATTTTATTACCTTTCTTGCCGTTAAGTGAATCATTACAATTGTTATGTTAGCAACACGGTTGTTAAATGAATCTGGCTTCTTCATATACATACGCTATAGAGCCCTGCACACCAGAACAACCAGACACAAGAATAGTTTTTTCCCGAATGCCATCACTCTTGTAAACAAAGAATTCCCTTAACACTGTCAAACTACTTTATTATTACTAAGTCTGCATTACTATTACTATTCATCTTCTCATCCTTCCTTTCACTCATCTCCTCCCACTTATGACTACATGAATGTAACTTTGTTGCTTGTATCCTTATGATTTTTTTTCAATTGACTGTTTACTAGTATAATTTGATTTGATCACTTATTATGTTTCCTAGTATGATTTGATTGCTTATTTGTACCTTTGACTACTATTAAGTGTTATACCTATGATTCTTGACAAATGTATTTTTTCTTTTTATGTACACTGCACCAAAACAAATTCCTTGTGTGTCGTCACACTTGGCCAATAAAGAATTCTACTCTACTCTACTCTACTCTACTCTACTCTACTCTACTCTACTC